GAGAAAGTATTAGAAGAATAGAATAGATATAAGTGTGTAAAATGTTCCAATTTTCATTTCCATCAATAAAAAAGTCTGACGAAGGAGGCTTCGACCTGGCGAAACGTCACAAATTTCAAATAAATTATTTCCAGGAAGAGTATTGAGAATAAAATTGAAATCATTATGTCCTTCCTTAACAAATCACAATATCTTCTAGAAATAGACTTGGTTGTGAGTTGTGGTTGTTGATGAAAAAGAAAGAGAATATCTACTCTAGCAGGCGTACGCACATCCACTTCTTGCAACTGATGACAAGAAAGTTCAAGTTGTCAATGTGCATTCCATGATTCTATATGATTAAGTTCTTTCAGATGACGTTTCTTGTTTGAATATGCGAAAAAACCGATCTAGCCAAAATATGGTTGAAATACTTATTGCGGTACAATGTCACGTTCTGTTTAATCAGTAAAGAGAATTCTTCATCATTCTTGACATTTTGAGAAAATGTCTAAGCTTCGGCGAAATAAATATGTATTTTCCATTGAACAAGGATGGAATCGCAGATCAGGAACAACGATTGAAAAATTCAAGAGAGCTTTTGAGAAAGCTCTCAATTCCATAGTTCTAAGGGGCTAATAATCGTTTAGTGTGCATACCACATTTTTCTCTACTTGTACAGCAAAAACACAGAAAATGGCTCACGAAGGAAGGTATGAATAAAGGAACACCTACTATCACGTCCTTCATCCACACCCACTATTTTCCATTTAACTTCGTTTGTTTTTCACCAAACTAGACTATATTTCATATAAAAATACAAAAGTCTATTTCAATATGTCGTTATTATTCTATTGTTCGAGAAAAAGTAATTTTTCACATACGATTTATCAAATCATAATGATTCATGAAACAGTTGTCAAATATAGGTTTGTTAGTAAATCAATCTACAAATATTTATGATGAAAACTGAGCCTTGGAGCAAGAGAATAGAGAAAAAAAATTAATTTTTTTTTCTATATTGATCGTTAGATTTATCTAACTTAATCATGTAATTTCACAATGTCATCTTCGGAGAGAAACTTGCAGTATATCAAGCTTCGTTTACTTGTGTAATTCAAGAAATATTTATGTCCTAATAACATGATGTTTGCCATGTTTATTATACACACTTTTTTGTTCTTTCTCTTCATGCTCCATTAATTTCAAATAGCTCATGCGTCCTTATTTATTCATTTTGTAGAACAAACATGTCGACAACAACATACATTGCGAAACAACGTACATTTATTATTCCAGAAAATAATGTTACTTTTCAAACTCTTACAGATCTGTTCTTCATTGACAAAAAGTATCGATCATGTTCCAATCTAGACATAGTTATTCGTCAGCTTAACTTCGATTTCTATCATGATCTTCTTCCTATTATTGCTCAATGGGCATCGAACCATACTCAATCGAATCCAATTAAACCTCTTCAAGCAAATATTACTGCTCGTGTCACTTATACATCTGCTCAAGCTCGTTATATTCTTGCAAATGCCTTTTTTCTAAATACAATCAAAGGATATGGAAGTATTGATTTAATCGATCTATATCATGTACCATTTGATCGAGTGGCTATCGAACGAATACGATGTTTGATTGAATATTTTCGTCTTTCATCACAACAGCAACAACAACAACAACATAACAATGATCATCGAGAGATTTCAATCGAAAGATATTCGTATGCTGAAGAATTACCTGATTGGAAAAAACAATTAGTTCCAATTCAAGAATCTAAAATAAATGTGTTTGCAGAACGAATGGAAGCATCCGAAGAAGCACATGGCTTTGTTGATTTTGCCAATAAACACATTCACATTCATTCGATCAGTCCATCAGCGACACAAGAAGAAATTCTATGTAAAATACTGCTGTACGAAATTTCTCTTTCCATTAAAAAAAAAGCGTTTGTCTCTATTCTAGTTAGCTGCTGTCCTGAAGCATATTTGGCTATTCTGGTATGTGATACATTAAGATCCGATGAAGTAGTCATTCTTCGTGGATGTAAACGATTTGTTGACTATCGTGGCTACGGCGAAACATTTCAATTTGTCGGTCCTTATCCAAATCAAGATCCAATACACGTTCAAGATATTCTTGTTATGGATGCTTGTTTGTCAAATCATTTTAGCCGGCGTCACATTGATCGTGATTTAGGAAAAGCATGGGCTGCCTTTGCCAAGACTGGACATGAGATAATTGTCACTGGCAATTGGGGATGTGGTGTGTTTGGTGGAGATCCCATATTTAAGTTTCTTCAACAAGTATGCGCTGCAAGTATACTTGTTGATATTGTTAAAAGATTGGACTATTCGACATATGGTGATGATAGATTGATGTCCAAATTGAAAGACTTAATGAAACAACTGGACAAGAAGAAAAAGACAGTAGCAGATGTCTATCAAATGATGGTCAAATATAGTGAAAATGAGATTATGTGCTCTTCAAGACCAGTTTTTAGTTATTATGTCAATGAATGGCTGAATGCTATGTGAACTTAGTCGTCAGAGTGTGGATGTCAGTGCGAATGAACTAAAGATTCACATCCGTTTTGAGTTTGATTTATATTTATTTCATTTGATTAATATTTTTTCAAACCCTGAGGTCAAACTTTAATAAAAACATTAAGACGACAATAAAATACGAAAAATACTAGACAAATTAATAAGAGATTCTTTTCTTAATAAAGTTTAATCATTTCTGATATTAGTTGTTGTAATATATAGGCTAATAATATTTACAATAATTCTATAAAGTTATTTCACAATGCACTCATTTAAGATAATAATGTCACAGTAATCAGACTATAATGGACAAATTTATTTCAATCATTTTGTATAATAAACATAGATATGTGAAGAAACAATATAGTTTTTTGATTTGAACATTCACTATAAGACATAGTTTAATTGATCATCAATTTGCAGTAGAATAATCAATTCTTAAATTATTCCTTACTTAGCATTTGAAAAAATAACTTCTATCGAAATGCTAATGTCGAAATTGCAAATTCGTCATGTAAATATGATGTAATTACAAGTTCTTCGTTCAATGCAAATTTGATACTATATATATGTATACTAGTGTTGAGTACAACACAAAAATTTTAAAAAAAGTTGTTGCATTTGTTCTATGTGCGATAATAAAAAACAATGTACTTAAAAATATAATATAATAGTTACGCAACTATAATCATGTCAATGCTCAAAGAGAATAATCTTTGCCATTGATCAGGCTGCAGACTCTGGAAAGAAATAGATTGATGCCAAAGCAATAAAATTTTGTTTTTAATTTCATTCCAGTTATGCAAATTGAGTCATCTTTTATCTACAATGACGTGGCGTAATTGCACAACAAAATTGTGTAATTTCAGTTTCTTTCTGTAAGTCATCTGTTGGCCAGTGCTATATATATAAGAGCAAACGAGAGTAATATAGTTGATAGCTGAGATACAAAACGATCGATTGATTGAAATGATATATCCAGCAACGTCATAATTAAAAGTAATAGTAGGAATGATTATTTTATCATTTTATTTAGAATGAATAAAATATTGATAATTAAAATTCGTTCATGGCAACTGGATGCTTTTTACCAATCATTTCATCTAAAAAATAACTTACTTGAACTGATCTACAATAAAAATTATATAGAATAATCATTTTGATGAGTATAGTTTTAAATTAATGAGAAGAGAAAAATCATCTTTATGAACTTTTATTTCGCTTTTAGAGGGCATATCATTGGTAAATATATACTTGTGACTTAGTCTTCTCTTTTCGCGTAATCTATGTTATCATTTTTTAGTATAGAAATTCAGAAAGTAGATGTTGGTTGATAACCAATCATGTAGATTGTTATTGAATTAGAATAGCTATGATGCGATAGAGTCACTGTTTGATATTGCCATTTTGATAAGGATCGCAACGCTCTGTCTTTATTTTCGAACTGTTGCGGAAGTTATTACACTTAATTTCTTTTGCGAGAATATTAATTATTCCTTAAGTTCTTTCATTGATCCATGGTTGTAGTATTGTACGTGTACAGTGTTAAATACACAGATAAGTATGTTTTCCTTTCTGTGAAATACACCGATTACACTTCTTTTGTTTTAGACGTATCAAGATCGATTTTGGCATAGACTAGTCGAATGATATATATTCTGAAATCTAATGAAGAAATTACTATGTCATATTTTAAACAAGATGATCTAATTTTTGATGTAAATAATTCAGAAAATAAGGATGTATTGGTACTAGTAATCGAGAATTTCTATTTGCACAGATTCTTCGAATTGATATGCCGATCTTCTTGTACGATTGTATTCCTTTAACATTAGATTTATATCTACCTATTGGCTTTCATTATATTCTCGATATTTTTAATTGGTCACTATTTCTGCAATGGATTTCTGTCTAAACTGTCGAGAAACTCCCAACAGAGCTATGAAAATTCATGAAGCAGTTGAGGATTGATTATCGATGCTCTCATAATTTCGATAAGAGATGGAATTGGTTCAGTTCGAGAAAAAACACGAACTGATTCCATGTCTGATTCCGACATCCATATTATGATGTGAGAACAAAAGATATGTTTTATATACTATGTTTGGTTCACTTTTGCAATTGAGAAACTATAAGAATATTGACGATGAATTTCTTTTTCAAAGTTATAACTTCTCTGTTTTATCTGGCTGATACTTTTTCTTAAATTTATTAAAATTACTGTATTTACCCAGAAAGAAAGATGATGGTACAAAAAAATCTATTCTTACTTTCTTCATCATCTTCGTGTTTTCTCATCGTCATCTAATGTCACAAGGATCTAAATCGATATGAATAAAAGTTAATGAAATTCTACGTAATGCAAACCTAACGTATTCGTTTATATTTGATGATTATGTTAAAAGAAGAACAATTATCGTACTATCTTAATTTTATTGGATATTTTTTAATTTTGCGTTCATCATGCATTTTAACATAATAAATCAAGCATTTCTCTCTTGATGTTACTACAAATAAAAATACCGCAAAAATACTATTTTAGATTGTTTCTATTACACCATCAGCATTAGAAAAGAAAAACGAAGTTATGTATCATTCAGAAAACAACTAGTGATGTGTCATCGTATATAAGGTAAGGGTTTTAAAATAACATGAATCAATCTATTGTATTTCAAAATAGAAATGATTGAACTATGTTTTCTAGGACAACGATATTTCACTTCATTCTTACGTTCAATGCTTTTGTGAAACTGCGAATATTGGTATTCTTAAATTGTTGAATGTTGCATATGATGTGTTATATGAGTGTCCGAGGGAAATGAATCTTCCATTTATGAAACTTTATTTCCTTTCTCAGAAAATTCATGAAAGACAAATTGGAAAGTATGTAGAATCTTCTATTATGTTCATTATGTCGATGAAAGATTCTATCTAAATAATTAGGAAATTAATTTATTTTCTTGGATATTAATTGGAAACATGAAATCAATTGATTTATCATCTTTTTGATTGATGAACCTTGACTAATTGTTTGTTTCATAGTAGGACAAAAAATTCAGATATGTTTTAGTCTTTCATTAGATATCATATGATATATTTGATTACGATCAGTACCGATCATCATCCTATGAGCAGTAACTGTCACATTCACATGTTGTTTACATTAATAAAAAAAATCACCTATAAATCTTTCGTCTGATAATACTAATACAGAGAAGAACACACAATGACGATTATCGTTATATAATCCTCTACACTTATGATTTGTCGTAGTGACCAATAATTGTGAACTATGCGATTAAATGTTGTTATTTGCGTGTCACTGATAATGCAGAAAAGCACTCATTCGTTAGCTTATCTGCTGATGTAGAGCATGCATGCATGCGAGAAGCTATAATGACAAATACTTTATTAGTTTCAAAGACAATGTCCTTCGAACTTTCCTTGAAACAGTTACTTTGATATATAATGAAAAGAAATTTTCTAGCATTTGTCTTTCCGTTCTCCCCTCGATTCTATCCAACGTCGTTAGAATTATTGAAGTTGGATGTTTCTTGTGATTACTTATTCTGTTTCTCCTCTATGGTTTTTTTTTCAATGTATTATGGTTTTATCTCAACTATATATAGATTAATTGTTGTAAATACATTTAGTTTGATTTATCGTTTATTAAGATTTATATATTTCCAACTATTACAAAACGAACCAAAAAAAAAACAAGATTATTTTGCAATATTATGTGAATGATGATTAAAAATGTGGGTATGGGTGTGGGTGTCGGCGCTTTCCTCTTAACACAAACACTCACACGTTACTCTTGTCTTCGAAGTTTTCGTGGTTCATAGATGATATGTAAAGTATAAATATAACGCTGTTAACTTTTGTTGAGTTATTTTCCAATAAAAAAAAAATGATATTGTAGCTTATGTATTTCCTGCGATGAAACAGTAGTTGCTGTCGCTTAGAATTTAATTCTTCAAAAATTGAAAATGCTATTTTGGTTATTCAGAAAGGTATTTTCGAAATTCATTTTTGCGATGACACTTCAAACATCGCATCCTTCACCAGCACAATATCAACAACAGTTCTTCCTACCATTCAATGCATAAACCTATCATGGACACACGATATATTTTATAAGAACTACTTTCAACAACACAAAGTAATCATGGAGAATAAAAGATGTAACAGAGCATCAACAACAGAAAAACAAGAAAAAATGTGTATAAAAACTATGCGCACTGAATAAATTACTGTGCAGCACGTATCGAAAATATGTCTTACATGTCGTTCGTTTCTTTTCCTTTTTCTTGTTTCTCTCGGTATTCCTTCTCCTGATAAATGATTACATGCAACGAATGCATTCATTAATATCTCAGTGGTACTCATAACCATTATTTTCTCATCAGTTACTTACTATTTAATCAAATGCATCAGTGTGAGTGATTCCCAGCGAAACATTTAAATAAATGCCAAAAGAAAAAAAATTATTTTTCGATGCCGACGCAGAACAGGTTATTATTGCATGCATTACAGTATGAACAAGTGAAAATGAATACTCTTTCTAGTAAAAAAAAAATCAGGCACATGCTATGTTTTCCTAATGTAAATGAAAATTAGAATTTATTTAAAAAAAAGAAAACTATTGTTTAAGCTCGTGTTTAATTAAAAACGAATTGTATCCGAGTTTAATTTTGAGTGTTAGTGTTGGTTTTGCCCTTTATGACACACATCTGCATTTCTACGCCGAGACCCATGAACACATTTCCACCCGTATATCCTCTATTTAAAAAAATGCGGACTCATCGAGTAAAATTCCTTGATGTAATAAAAATATTTTTGTTACATTTTTTCACTGTGATCATTGTTCGTCATCAACGTCATGACTATTTAGAAAATAGGTGAATTCTTATCATACTGGCAGCGTTGCAGACTATCGTTAGAAAGATTTTTTTCTGTTCTTTTTTCTATTCTGGAAATTTCCAACAACTAAAAGTCTACTACCTTCCTTGTTTTATCGTTCTTCTGCCATCGTCGTCTCAAATAGAGATGAATTATTCCTAGGAAAGTTTTTGGTACGTCTATTTCATATATAAAAATGAACTATATATATTTAAATTGATTGTTGTGAGTATAAGATACTTTTTACTATCACCTAATGATCGATAATTCGAACTTGTACCAATGAATATCCCATGAAAAAAATCAACTATATATAGTTTTATATTCGTCAAAGTCGCTCGTTGACGCTGAGGATGAGGATAATGAGTATGAGGCTTTTTGCTTCAATCTCAAAGAGTTTTTTATTCTCACATCCAATCAGAAATACTCATCACGGTCGTGATGTCGGTGCAATAGCAACAAGTTTCTTAAACAACCATCGTAACACATGAAAGCTGCTTTAACGATGCCATCCAGGCAGTGGCACCATAACGGCAGCAACTCTTATGGATGGCATTGAAAAACTACATGAATTTGCTTAGAATTTTAGTATCCACAAATGTAGCACGATGAGAATCGATGAGTCTCAAGGGTTAGTAATCAAAGTTCTAGCTCAGTATAGTCACAGCTGTGAAAGTCGAAACACTTTTATTCGAATACCATTACGGAAATGGTAACTGTTTTTATAGTTCGCTGCAGCATGTTAGAGGAAGTTTTTAGGCGTAGCTGAGTTGTGGTAGATTGTCAGACGACATGAATATCCTTGCATCCTACTGGAATTCGTTTTTCAAGGATGCTCAAATTCATATAAAAAATGTTCAGAAATTCATATTTGACGTTCTGCTCATCAGCATATATGAAAAGCTGTGTATACTTATGAGTTTAATAAAAAAAAAACTAATATTGTAACTTTCGTACAACATTTGCGTTGTTTGTGCCTTGAAGTTTCCAAGTAAGTATGTTTTATGCATAATTAATTGGAGAGCAAAGAGTGTCAGTATGAAGTCATTGTAGATTTTTATGTGTATGTGTGAGTTCAGTTTATTAGTGATATCTTAGTTATGATGACAAGAAGAAGAAGAAGAGATATTAGAAGAACGATTAGAGAACGAGATAATGAAAGCAATATCTGATGATATTGAATAGAACGAACACGAACATATATGAGCACACTGGGAAAATTCCCAATACGACCTAAGATAACACAGTGAGAAAATTCCCAATACGACCTAAGATAATACAGTGGGAAAATTCTAAGATGATGACTAGGACAATTCTAATATAGTGGTTGGGAAAATTCCTACATTTACAGTCATAATCAAAGAAAATAGTTGCCTGCTTATTTTCTCAACCGAATGAAAATATTGTTGTTTATATATACTCTCGAAAATCAAAAGTTAGCCACTTTATTTTGGGTATATCGTTACTATAACAGCATATTTTTTTAAATAATAATACCATATTCAGAAAGCGCGTAAAATTCTCTACTACCCTGTATATTTATATTTTGGTTTTCACTTTTGAATGATCAACATAAATTGAGTATAATGAAGACGCTCTGATGTCCAGATTCCCACAGACATGATTTTGTCACTGTAATCAAATTAAGTTTTTTAGATTTTGCATCACTGTAGAATGTTTGTTTTGAAAGAGCAAATATATATTCTGATAGCGCTTGAAATTCTCTATCTTTCTACATATTTATTTACTCTCTTACATTTATCTATTATAAAAATAATATAAGAACAATGAAGTCATCTCAATTGACAATTTCGAAAAAAATCCACAACTTTTTTCGCTATTTTTTTGGAATTTTCCCTGCCTAATTTAGGTTTGATCAACGAGGATGTTTAAATATTACTCAATTTATTATTCAACACGCAAATATAGGATAAAACAAAAATATATAGGGTGGTAGAGAACTTAAAGCTCTATCAAAATGGATAATTGCTTTCATAAAAAAATAATTTTCTTTGTACTTATAGTTCGAAAAAATATATCATACACAAGATTTTTCGAAATTGTCAATTGAGATGACTTCATTGTTCTTATATTATTTTTATAATAGATAAATGTAAGAGAGTAAATAAATATGTAGAAAGATAGAGAATTTCAAGCGCTATCAGAATATATATTTGCTCTTTCAAAACAAACATTCTACAGTGATGCAAAATCTAAAAAACTTAAGTTGATTGCAGTGACAAAATCATGTCTGTGGGAATATGGACATCAGGGCGTCTTCATTATACTCAATTTACGTTGATCATTCAAAAGTGAAAACCAAAATATAAATATACAGGGTAGTAGAGAATTTTACGCGCTTTCCGAATATGGTATTATTATTTTAAAAATATGCTGTTATAGTAACGATATACCCAAAATAAAGTGGCTAATTTTTGCTTTTGGGGGATATATATAGGCTTGTAGAGGAAGTCTTCCTTTACAAGGCTACATATATCCCGCTTTGTAGTAAATAATGACTTTGAACGTTATAGTCGCTTTTTCAATATTTCTAAAAACTTTTGACTTACACTGCTGTGTGATTATCGAGCTAATAGAATTTTCGAAAATTTTTGTAATTTCCTTTTCCAAAAATCTGAACGTATCTCTGGGGGGGGGGGGGTGTCGGCAAAGAGAAGACACTCCATATGCTCATACTCCTGCTCACATCCACATCCATCCTCATTATCGTATTTTAATACTAATTTGTGATTTCTAGATATATTATTTATTGCATCTCTTCGTTTCAAAGAATTAGTTTTCTTCACTCAAGTATTAGGAAACTAATCTATCTTAACTGGTAAAAGAAAATCCCTGGAAATTTTCTTCTCTTTAGACGTTAACTAACGAAAAACATTCAAGTGATGGTAGGCGTCAATGCAAGAAATAAACATATTTTTGATACAAAATATATTTGTCCTGTGTGTTTATTGATCTTACGAGATCCTGTACAATTGAAAAAATGTGGTCATCGACAGTGTGAAACATGTTTAAATGCTAAACAAGAGTAAGTTTTCTTATTAATTGGAAGTATAATTCGTAATTGTTCTTTCTCAAGAATAACAATTAAATGTTCACAATGTCAATCAGAAACATTACGAACTGAAGTAAGATATCTTTTCATAATTAACGAGAAAATAATATTTCTTTTGTATAGATACTGCTTGATCGAGGTGTCAAAAATGACATGAAATCCTTACCCATTGAGTGTTCTTTTTGCCTATGGACTGGAGTCTTCGATGACTATCAGGTAATTTATTTTATATTTATTTTATTCTTCAGTCTTGTATTTCTTTTCTTCGAAAGGAACATCTCGACCAATTTCATTCAAATCTCAAATGTGATTATTGTGGCGAACAGTTCAATTCAGTTAACAAATTCAATGAACATAAAATCTTAGAATGTCAACAACTAACTGTTGACTGCATATTAAAAAGATTTGGTTGTAATGAGCGGGTATGAATATTTTTCTAGAACAAATTGACACCGTAAAATTCGTGCGTTTTAGATTATCCGTGCCAAAATGGAAGATCATTATTTGACTGAACAACACCAACATGCTGTACTCAAAGTTGTTCGTCAAATGTCGCAAATAGATGATAGACAAATGGATATTGATCTTCCTCAAACTACAACTGCAGGAGTATCTAATCCTGCTACAGCTCAGTTAGAGGGACTTTATGAAATGCTCAATATCTTGGTAGGCTGCATCGAAACATTGACTAGGGATGAACAACATCTAAGCAATGAATCACTTCAAATGCAAATTAAACTTTCAAAATTGATAGCAGAATCATCGAAAGTTAAATTATCTGTTGAAGAATCAAATACGTTATTGAAAGGAATAAAACATAGTCAAGACATTGTCAATGAAGATTTAATGTCATTGAGAGATGAAATCAATGATTTGAAATATGTTTCATATGATGGAACATTTATTTGGAAAATTACAAACTTTAAAAAGAAAATGAGTAAGTTGAACAATCATTCTTAAGCTCGATGATAAAAATAGATAATCTTATCGAAAAGATAAGTAAAGAATAAAATGTTATTTAATTTCAATAATCTCGACAAACTCTATCGAATATATTCTCTGAGTAATCTATTAATGAACGAACAAAGTGAATCATCAATGCTGTCGATTCACTAAGTTTCTTTATACATGTTCCTAATTCTATTCAAGTTTTTTTTGTGAAACTCATACATTTGACGCAGTAAAATTATGAATGTAAGTTGAAAGGCCAGTTTTTTCGTTCCCATCTCTTACGGCAACTCAAATCAAAGGGTCATAGTGAGGATATAGATCAATGATTTTAACGCCGCTGGCAGTCATAGTAAAGCTGGGAAAAACACTCACAATAGGCTTTAACAACCGAGATTATGGTCAATGGATATGCTTCCATAGCAATCAAGGAGAGCATATACCAGATTCCTTCTTTATAACCCTTTAGCAAGGCAAAAAAGATACTGAACGATATTAGCAACAAGAATTAGACAGTTCAAAAATATTTCAAAATTTCTCTTAAATTTTATATAGTTAGAATATATTTCTGAGTGTTTTGAATATTGCCATTTCTGGTTTGGGTGTGAACCATTGATTTAATATAACATATGAAAAATGATGTTTTGATCTGTTACAGTTGTCATATGATCAATACTTAAAATATGAATTGATTAAGTTATAGCTTTCGAGAATAATCGAGACTAGGTTTCTGAGATCATCGAAATAGATAATGAGACGTCGATACGTCTTGTAGATATCATAGATATATCCAACAGACTTGTATGTTATGAAAATGACTAGTTGACATAATAATAATAATAGTGTTTTAAGAAAAAATAAACAACAATGAAGAATTAATAACGAATGAATAGCAACAATATAAATAAAAAATAAGAAACTAGTAAAAAAAAAGATGAAAGAAAAAAACGCTCTTCATAATGCAGAAATAAATAAGACAGATTGTTTCCTTGACGATCGATTATCCTTAGAAAATCAGTATAATCTCTTAGAGATTTTTTACTTAACCTATTTTGCATTAGTATAAGAAAGTTGAAAAAAGACATGTGAATTTCACATTTTAGCTTCAAAGAAACTGTGCTGACAAGTATTTTTACTTAATTTCTAGTTGATGCACAATCTGAAATACAAATATCGATTTATTCGCTGCCATTTTATTCATCTCCAAATGGTTATAAAATGAGAGCTCGTCTTTATTTAAATGGTGATGGAAATGCTCGTCGTACACATATGTCACTCTTTTTTGTGCTCATGAGAAGTTTAAACGATCCTATTCTCAAGTTTCCATTCCATTATAAAGTTATATTTTGTTTGTACGACCAAACGCCTGAAAAACGACATATTATCGATTCATTTCGACCAGATATTAAATCGAGTAGTTTTCAACGACCTCGATCGAATATGAATATAGCCAGTGGTATACCAAAATTTTGCCCATTATCGCTGATTCAACAGGAAGGGAATCCATATATACAAGACGACACAATGTTCATCAAAATTATGGTTGATTTCGGAGAAATACACAAAACATTATTGCCATACGCTTTGAGTCTCAATCCAGGTCTACCGATTCATGTTCAACAAGCAATGATCAAACAAGAAACTGAACGAAGAATACAATCACAATCTGACGAACAATTGCAGATACCTGAGGGATGATCTTCCGTGTTTAATTGATGTGAAATATTGAGATTATAATTAAGAGTATCGTCTTTTGAAGTTATAAAAGTTTTTACAACTAAAAATATAACTCATATATCATGTTAAGCTTTTCCTATTTTTGTGATAATCATACAAATCTTATTGATCTTTCGTATAAGATGAAGTTATTTCATTGTCTAATAACAGAAAAATTGTATTGAAAGGAAAACTTTTTTCATTATAAAAGAACCACTATACAGATATTTTTTCAAAAATTTTTGAAACATGAATAAATAGATATTATTTCTTCGATTTCATTTGAGGAAAGAAATTGACTTCGAAACGAAAAGCCTAGATTTCGTTTCTGAAAATAGCTCAACGTCCTTCAGGATTTTTGAGCAAATTTTCTTTTTCTAATTTTTGATGGCACATCGTATTAGACTCAATGAGGGTTGGGTGTGGGTGCTAATGAAGAAAAGACCCATCTGCATCCACACCCATACCCCAACCCGAAATTTTCAGAATCTTGAAATAGTGCATTCTGTACAGCTGACAATATTACAAAAATAATATTGCCTACCAATTTTTGTAGAACTCATTATACAAAAATAGTGAGTGTAAGTTTGTATATGACAATTTTCTACTCTTTCCTTATAGGCAGCCCCCTTCCCCCTCATTACAGACATCATTGCTTGAAAGTGGATTTTTTAATCATCATGATTCTATTGTATCTTCAGATAGAAAAAAATATGAATTCAGAAAATGCGCTTTTTTCGTTGGATGAATTGATTTTTTGCTTTTCGTGGTCTTAAATTCGCTGCCTATTATGGGTTTTCGGACCATAGCACTAAGAATTTTTGAACCATAGAAATTCGGATTTTCAGTCCTTGATTTTGAGGGTTTTTTTAGCCTGAGACTGCTGGACTACTAAAGTATTTGTAGTTTTTAATCGATTTGAAATCACGAAGGCAAAAGTCTTTTATTTTCTATCTTCGTACAGTACGTTCGTCGTGTTTATAGACAGTCACTATCAAAAGTTTTCTTATGTCTTATTGTGTTATTTTTATGCGAGTTCCATATTTTAGTCCTATGGGGACTGCGATGACAAGCTTTTATTAAGAAAATCAAATTATAGAGAAAAAATAATATCAAAATCAGAATTAAAGTAAAACAATTGAATTCATTTTCTGAAAATGTTTATTCGATTCTTATGAGAACCAATTCGATGGATTTAACATTTTAGCCTGGCAATCGAAACAGATTGCGCCTTTAAGAAAGCTGAAAGAGCGTGCGACATATTTGAGTTCACCACATTTAGGACAACTATAATAGATACGATCTCCTGCGGCTACCATTTGTTGACCAGCTACTTGAATAATTTGCGTCGCTGAACAATAGGCGTTCGCCGCCGCTAATACAGCTGACCATGTCACCATTTTTCCTATTATTAAAACGATGAACTACAAGAAACTGCAATGAGCAGAAGTTAGAAAAGGAAATTTGAAAAATAACAACTCACTTCTCTTTTGATAATGTTTTCTTGGCTTGTCTCTACCAGAATGAAGTTTTGCTGCGAAATTATACATCTTTATATATACCCAGGTCGAGCATTACGGTGACGAGAAAGGGGCGTATACGGCCGTTTACGGCGCCATATGCTACAGTATACGGCGGATTTACGGCCGTAACTGCGCCGTATTTCCATGTACCGTATTACGACCGTATTTCGCCGTGTCGTATACGGCCGTATTCATAACTGGACACGGCCCCAAGGACGATTGATAAGACCGTATACGCTACCCTTCACGACCGTAACAATGTCGTATACGGCCGTATAAGATCGTAAATCGCCGTATACGGTGGTCGTATACGGTGCCCAGAACGAGCATTACAGCGACCAGAAACAGCCGTTTACGGTGGCATAAACGGGCGTATACGGTGGCGTAAACGGGCGTATACGGCGATTTTACGACCGTAAACGGGCGTATACGGCGATTTTATGACCGTAAATCCACCGTATTTCCATGTACCGTATTACGGCCGTATTTCGCCGTGTCGTATACGGCGGTCGTGTACGGCCGTATTCGGCCGTAAATTCACCGTTCTGAGACTTTTTGAGGCTTATTGAAACTTTCTGAGACTTTTTGAGACTCATTGAGACTTTTAGAGACTCATTGAGACTTTTGAGGGCCCAGAGAAGAAGGCGTTTCGAAAAGTTTTTGAGAGGTTTTCGGCCAGAAGAGAACTCCTTATAATAGTGTGAAACACTTGAAAAAAGACTCGACGGGGAGCAGTCTGGCACCTTGCGAGACTTCTTTGGAGTTCTTCTGAAGATTGCGAATAGGTACGAAACATTCTGTTTGATTGCTGTGAAGACTTTTCTTGTGAGATTTGCTAGCGCGCAAAAGCTTGAAAAAAAGGTCGCTTTCTAGGTTCCAGAGACTCTTTCCAAGATCTTTCTGCGAGGTGGAAAACTATGAAAGCAGATGTGAACAGACCATTAATGATTTTTTTCATTCAAAGGCAGGATTGTATTCTAGCGAATGCTTGGGTTTCGGGATATTCTCTAATGGAATGCTTTGCGTTAAAAACAAAACGCTCAGGCATTGCGGTTTCCTTTTAAATCGGTCGTATGCTAGAACACTTCTTTAAATATATACGAAAATGAGGCAGGATCCTTCCTCAGAGACCATATAGGAACCTCATCAGAAAAGCTACCCAAACGACTACACTTCAATAACCGGAATCGGTTACTCATCGTTCTTGTTCGTGGTTCTTTGTACGCCTCAACAGCACATACCTCGGCGTGCGTGTCTGTATAAAAACAGGAGCGGGACTCAAAAAGACGGAAAAACACTCTTTTCATCAAATCATTCGCTAAATATTCGATTGTTCATACTTTTTGCTACGACGTCATTCTCAACTGAAACGACCACCAGCACGGGGTGCAGCCATTTATACAGTAAGGCGTCAGACTCGAACAGACTACCAAAAACTCTTTTCTGATCAAATAATACTCCTCAAAAATCTATTGTTCATACTTGTTACTCATACCTGAATCTCAATTAAAATGACCACGAGCACGTGGTACAGCCCTTCATATAGTAGGGGGTGAGACTTGAAAAGACTCTTTTTTGATCAAATAATACTCCCAAAAAATCTATGGTTGATACTTGTTACTCATACCTGACTCTGAACTCAAATGACCACGACCACCTTGTGCACCCATATATATAGGGTAAGGTGGGCCTGAAAAGACTGAAAGGAAGACTTTTTAAAGGCCAAGTAATAGTGCTGTAAAATCGATTTTTCGCACTTGTTACTGAAGCCTTGTACCCAAGCGGCATGAGGGTTGATAGGCGGTGCCGCCCTATACTTAGAGTACGGTGAGTCTCAAGAAGACTGAAGGGAAGACTTTTGGTAGGTCAAGCAACAGGGTTGGTGAATTTTCCGCACGGGAATTTTCAGCACGGAACGTTCAGCACGGAATTTTCAGCACAGGAACGTTCAGCACTAGGAATAATCAGCATGTTGAATTTTCAGCACGCAAACGTCCATCATGAAAAACATACTGTGAGGCTCTTGGTATACGTAAGAGCGTAGCTGCAGGTGCCGGATGGGTGTTGGTCTGGTACTTGGCATCCTTCTCTATATGTGGGTTAGCGGAGTGTATTTCTTACTCATTTTCGTCCATACACACACCTAGATTCACACTCAGATCGGCACCAGAACCTCACAAACACATAAATCTCCATCTATGGCTCCGCCCGCAACGACACCCACATCTACGCTTATTATCTCACTTACACCCACAGGCACCTACAGCCACACCAAGACCCTCACGGTGTGGTTTTTGATGATGGACGTTCGCGTGCTGAAAATTCAACGTGCTGATTATTCCTAGTGCTGAACGTTCCTGTGCTGCAAATTCCGTGCTGAACGTTCCGTGCTGAAAATTCCCGTGCTGAAAATTCCGGTTCCCCAAGCAACAGTGTTTGAAAATCGTTTGTTTTTACTTGTTACTCACAATGTGCACTGAGCTCGAATGAGGGTGAACAGGAGGGGCACCCCGATGTATAGGATAAGGTGAGTCGGAAAAAGACTCAGAAAAGACTATTTTTCGATTAAGGTACACTGCTGGAATGCCCGTGACTCTTTCTCGACTTTGTAGAAACGCAACTTTTGTTAGCTGTCGACTAGTATACGCCATAATCAGAGTATGTTATTGATATTCAATAATAGAAAATCGCCGACATTAACGATCGTTTGTGATGAAATACAATAACAAATAGTGATTCTATATCGAACGAATTACAATAAACAAAGACGGTACGTCGCGATATTATGCGATGAGCGTATACAATCGGCATATTGTTACAGGAGTCGTACACGGTTGCTGTTTATGGCAATTGTTTACGTCGGCCGCAACATCATCGTAAAATGTCGTTTACGATCTCCGTAAGGGACTACCGTATACTGCTCACGTACACTGTGTTTTACGACATTTTATAATACCAGCGTATACGGTGGTCGTGTTGTCACGCTAGTCGTTTCCGACGATACTTTACGGTCAATGTTTACAATTGCCGTAGCATGCCGTAAAGCATCAGGTACGACCATTGTAAACAGTCACCGCAAACGGCTGACGTATACGACACTTTACATTGTTTTTCGACCAAAGTATACAGTCACCGTATTGTTACGGTAGTAGTTTACGATGAACTTTTACGGACACTGTGTACGATTGCCGTAATATGCTATATATGACTAACGTAAACAGTTGCCGTTTTTCACCGTATTTGATTAGTGGACGGCCGTTTACTGCCGACCGTGATTGACCTGGGTATATATTGCGTATGAGAGAATTAAAACACGTTTTGTGAGTATTTCATCGTGTAGATAATTTTCGTCTTTAAGTCAATAAAATGAGTCAGTACTGTGAACAAACCCATATTATTGATGTGATTTTTACTATACATGGGACAAAAGTTGTCGATTCAGAAATGGAAAACTTCCTT